ACATGCTTTGATGTCGCAGTGGATGGCGCGCGTCTGGTCGTTCGAAGCGCTGATCGAGGTTGATGCCCTTCAGCGCGCTCTCAAAAGCCCATGTAGCTGCATCGTAATTCTGTTGGCCCACAAAGTAATTATATGGCAACCCTGCGATATATGAATATGTATATGGCGACATGAACCCTTTGCGACCGGCAAGTGGCGTGGATGTCGTCTAGACAAAAGGACAAAAGCTGCCTCTGGAAGATCTACGTCGATGTCTTCTTTCAGTCAGGTGAAACAGTAATTTGCAGTCCCCACAAATGCTTCAAACAAACCGGCCAACTAACCAACCGACCCAAAATCAACTTTGAGCCTCTCCATGTGTTACTTACCGGCCTCCATTTGCCAAGGCAGCAAGAACAGCCACTCGCGCATCGCCCAAGGACTCGTGCTCTTGGAGTCCTTGCTTCTCCGAGATGACTGAGTGCACAGATGTCATTGCGAGGATGGGTTGCAGGTGGTGAGTACTTGGAGGGTCATGCGCCATTTTCTGACCTATTTTCTAAGTCCCCATCACCCTCCAAGTAAGGAAGGCATGATTCTGAGGGTATAGCAGCTACTATAGAACGGAAGCCAAAGAACCTGCCACATGTAGGTTTATCCCCCTCCTGCTACTGCGAACACTCATAACAAGATTGATTCCAATAGCAAGGCTGAAAACGTACCCTCCAGAAGGGGTCCCCATGAAGACTGCTGTGCTGGAAGGCTGGGCCTTACCCTCCCCCAAAGCAAGCCTCCGCAGTTGAAGGCTAGAAATGGCTTCCTAAGATTGGGCAGCAGAAGTGAGACCAAGGCCTGAAAAAAGCTCCTGAAGCTACCCACTTGGGTGCAGGATGCTATCATCCACTCGTACCCTCTAGAGGTCCAGGCATAGAGACCCTAAACCATTTATACTCTTGTATACCCAAGATATTCCCTTTAAAGGGCATTGGAGACCCTTCCATATTTGCAACTCCCGGCGCTCTCTTCCAACAGCGCTGCGTGACGCAAAATCACGGCCTGCCCCGTCGCCGGGCAGGCTGTGCTTTAGAGTTTAGGCATTAGCTTTTTAAGAAAACTATCTGGGTCTTGGAGTTTAGGATGTTTGAGCTCAGACTTTCGGCCTCAGATTAAGGGTCTTACAGGTTTAGGGTTTAGGGTGTACACGGGTTTGCGGTTCTAGTTTAGGGTTATTATGGGTTTTGGATTTCTACAGGACTTTAGCAACCCCAATCAGAAACAAAGACCCCGTGGCTATCACAGGACTGCATGGAACCCTGATTTTGATTTGTAAAAATTGGAATTAAGAAGCAAGCACAATCTTGACTGGCCATATCCTACACTTCTCTGCCTGACACCGAATTCTAAAGGAGATCTACGAGGCTACCAGGTTTGTGTCACACAGTGGCCTAAACAATTAGCAGTACATCTTGAGGTCTATTTGAGGTAGCCATGTACTCTGTTCCATTTGTATGGGCTCCTGCAGCACTAAGGTCGGTTTCTTGCATGTATCTAGCTCATGAAAATCCATCCGTGATATCTATCAATTATCACAACCCCATGGGAGCCTGTATGAGTAACGAGATTCAGACGTGAGGCAAGTGCAACCACAAATGCCATGCCTCTGTGAAGCACTCCTCCCGCAAACCAACAAAGGTCTGCAACATCCTGGCACGGACTTACCCTTGCCAAGCTACTTGGAGGGTCATGGGGACTTAATAAGTAGGTTAATAACCCCTATAACCCATATAATAACCCCAATTATCCCCATTGTTATTAACCTACTTGCTAAGTCCCCATGACCCTCCAAGCTAGTACCCCCTTTTAGAGGACATTCATTTCAAGCGCCCCTTGGGTTCCATGTTGGACTGGGGGAGTGGTGTATCTTGTCGGGTGCCAGGAGCGTTCACAGTTCACGTATGGCCCTTGATGCCTCGACACAATCTCGGCGCACGCAAGAAGTGCTCAAACACATCGTAAGCCGGGAAACATCTTCATTCTTGCCCCTTTTTGTACCTAAATTAATGGAGCAGCCCTTATGAGATATAGGGAATGTTAATTTCCTTCGTTTCAAGCCGTCATACAACACAAAGTACCGCTGAAAGCGAGTTAAGCTTCACGTGTGTAATCGTGAATTGGTGAAGGCCATAATAACAGACACAACGATGGCCTCAAAAGCCTGGAGCCTAAACCCTGAACACAGCTTGTATCTCAAGCCCACTTGCACGACCAGTAATGACCCCTCACTAGCTTGAATATCGTGATATTATCACCACGCAACTTAACATCTCCCTTATCTAATAGCCGTATACCCTTAAACAACTCCCCACACAACACCCTGATGGGGAGCATTCGGGTTCAGGGTTTGGGTTCTGCTCTGAACTTTCTACAGGTTAGCAATGAGGATCAAGGGCGTCCGGCTTGTTAAGGCCAAGATCTTAGGAACATAGAATTTCAACCAAGGCATCCATAGTCCTGGAATATGAGCCATAGTCTAAACTAGGGGATTATATAGGGGACTACTATAGGGCTTATTAAGGGGGATACTAGATGCCTTGCCCTATGCACACAAACCCTAAACCCTAAACCCTAGTGCCCCATATTCGCTGAAGTTCTTTAGAAGCTCTCATCGAGAATCCCCAAACCTGGAACCCTGGACCCCGAGATCCTCCTGGACCTACTTGAGCCATTGTCTAAACGCCTATTATCCCCCTGAGTAAACCCCTAGAGTAGTTCCTGGAATAATCGCCAAAAATAAGCACCCTTTAAGGAGTTTAGGCGGTAGCTCACTTGAAGGCTCGGGGGAACTGTGGAATTGCAGCCCAATTATACACATATATATACACATATTAATTGGGCTACAAGTATACAGTTCCCGGAATTTTTGCCCATTAACCAGGGGACTTTTGCAGACCTACTTCCAACAGCTAAGGAACCTCCCAGTCGAGCTTAAGCCCTAAGCCCAGTTTAGGGTTTAGGCTTGATGGTTCAGGGTTTTGGGTTTAGGACCCTAAACCCTAAACCCATAATTAGGCCTTAGGGTTTGAGATCTGCACGCGGACGTCCTGGCCAGCCCGGGACCCGAGGCATCTTTGATGACAGGGCCTGACAAGGGCAACCACAAAAAGAGCATTTCGGGGTTTAGGGTTTAGGGTTTCGGGTTTAGGGTAACTTGGCCGCATCTGGCTATCCTAGGGCTGACTGGGTTACCATAATTTAGGGGTTATACAGAGATAATGGAAAATACACGGATTTGAATGAAAACTACTATTTAATGCTTAGGGTTTAGGGTTTAGGGGCTGAATCTGGGTTGCTCTTAAGGAACGTAAATTAAGTCACCATAATGGGTATACATATATATAGATATACGCCATATAAATAAGATGGTTCCCCCCATTCTAGTAACTGAGATTAAATTTCATAACAGCAACGGGGTTTGTGGAATCCCTGCGTTTCAGAAATACGGATTTGACTCCGCTGGGCTTCTGGGAAGTTGATGCGCGGTCAACTTCCAATCAGCATGCTGCGAAAGCCACGCATTCACAAAGGCACACCGGAACTAGCGGTTACAACGGGGAGTATAGGTAATAATGCAGAATCAAATGGAACATGAAATGGAAAATGCAATGGAAACTGCGATTTGGGTATATTGGGGTCATATTGGGATAATGGAAAGTCAAATGGACTACGTACTATGTAGGATCGCCCAGGGACTCTTGGCATAGCTGGTGTTGCATTGGCATGCATCAAATACAGATCTGTCAAGCTGGCAAAACCTTCTGAACCTTGTCTTGTGTACGCTGTACAGTACACATATATCGCACCGTGAACATTTGTCAAGCTGTGCGAGGCCATGCGACCTACCTGGCTCCATTATGAAAGCTTTTCCTTTGGAAGGGCGCTTTTCAAAAACAGCCCTTGGTCAGGAGCCTTGGAGTAAAGCCGGCTTGATTATGTAAAGCAGCACGGATGGAGGCATGCATACCTTCAGTAGCAGCCGAATAATCTTCAGAACCTGCAGTTGTAGCCTCGTTAAATAAGGCATGATCCTGCTGCTGAAGCAGCTGCTGAGCCATTGTGAGGCCATGGGCAAGCATTCAAGTCTAGCTGTACACTGTCACCCAAACTGCAGCCAGGTGAGACTGGAGGAGTGCCATAGGACCGAGTGGCCATTGGGCTTGGAGGTTTTGCCAGAGATGCATTGGTGTCAGGGTCGTTCGTGCCAGTCCCGCTGAGTAGCGCTAAGCCTGTCTGGATGTCGCTTGGATCTGCCACACTAACGGCAGGCTCGGGGGCTTGTGCAGAGCCATTGTCACCCAGTAGGAGCTCGTGAAGCTTACACTGCAGCACGGCTTTGGGGACCATCCGCAGAGCCCTCTGCACAAGGCCACGGAGCTGAAAGTCAGCGAGCTGGGCTGACTCAAGGATCAGAGGCAGAGCGCACACTGCGGACCGCACTACGTCCTCACTCTGACTATAGCTTCTTGCATGCAGCACCGCGGTGGCTATTGTTGAGTCTGAAGAAACTGCATTTTCGCCATCAGAGTAAGTGGAGAGGACAAGCTGCAACATCAAACCGTGGGCGTCCTCGTGTGGGTCTAGCCATGCAAGCACAGGAAGCAACTTCTTTGGACGCAAAACTTCAGGCTTGATCTTAACCAAGGCCTGTGCAACACTGTTGCGCACATAACAGTCTGTGTCCTGAAGAGCCGTGATCAGTTGCGGCACACAATCTTCTGCTGCAGGACCCAGAATGCCCAACACGTCTGCCGCACCCATGCGCACGTCCCAATCTTCGTCTTTCAACGCTTTGATGAGCTGAGGCACTGCTTCGGCGGCTCCCGGGCCAATCCTGAGCAAGGCCCCTACAGCGCTTGAGCGAACATCCGCATCTTCATCCTCAAGAGCTTTGCCTAGCATGAGCACAGCTTGAGCTGCTGCAGGACCTATTAACCCAAGGCGTCTGCAGCACTCTTGGGCGCCAGCTATCGTTGGTCATCAAGCGTTTCTATCAGCTGAGGCACTGCTTCAGCTGCTGCCGGACCCATGCTTCCCAAGGCCTCGATGGCCCTCTGGCGCACCTTCTCATTTTCGTCCCCGAGCGCCTTAATGAGCTGTGGCAGAGGTTCGGCCGCTTTATAACCAACTTTATGCAGAGCCTCTGCAACGCACGAGCGCACAGTCCATTCTGTGTCGTTGAGTGCTTCGATCAGCTGAGGCAAAGCCTCAGACGCTGCCGGCCCCATTTTAGCCAAGGCATCGGCTGCACACTGCCGCACCTGCTCATACTTGTCTTTGAGCGCTTCCACTAGCTGCGGCACAGCTCTGGCTGCTACGGGACCAATGCGGCCCAAAGTTCTTGCTGCAGCTGTGCGAACAAACCTATCTTCGTCTTTGAGGGCTTTGATCAGTTGCGACAAAGCTTCAGCAGCAGCAGCAAGATGCCCCATCTTGCACAAGGTTTCTGCAGCACTCAACCACACCAGCAAGTCATGATCTGAGAGTGCTTCGATCAGCTGCGGTACGGCTTCAGCTCCCGCGGGACCCATGTAGTACAAGGCCTTCACTGCCCTTTCACGGACAATTTGTCTTTTGTCTCTGAGTGCTTCTATTAGCTGCGGCACAGCTCCAGCTGCCGCAGGACCCATCATGCCCAGGGCTTTTATGGCAGATGTGTGCACAGAAGCGTCGTCTATGTCCATGAGAGCTTCGATCAGCTGCGGTACGGCTGTTGCTGCTGCAGGACCCACTCTGCCCAAGGCATCTGCTGCTTACTGGCCACTTGGGGTCCTTCAGCACTTGGTATAGATCCAGCTGCTGCAGGACCCATCCTGCCCAAGATTTGCGCTGTGTCCTTGCGCACTTGCCATTGTTGGTCGTCAAGCGCTTCTATCAAGTGTGGTACGGCACCGGCTGCTTCAGGACCCATTCTGCCCAAGGCCTGCAAGGCCGTCCGCCGCACATCTTCTACTCTGTCTTGGAGAGCCATGCTCAGCTGCGGCACAGCCTGAGCAGCCGCAAGACCCATCAGGCCCAGGGTCTCTGCGGCGCTCTCCTGTACCTGCCAGTTTTCGTCCTTGAGCGCCAGAATTAGCTGCGGCAAAGCTATAGCTGCTGACGATAACTTCTTGCGACCCAAAGCTCTTGCAGCTCTCCAGCGCACATCCGTGTCTGGGTCTCTGAGTGCTTTGATCAGCTCCGGCACGGTGCATGCACCTGCAAGACTTTGGAGGTAGTCAAAACCATCCTCGTCTGGGTCCCAGAACTCATCTGTGGCCGCATGCCGGCCCCAGAGCTGAGAGAATTTGGACCTGCCCACACCTCTGGAAGCAGTGGACCCCATCTAGTGGAGTAAGTGCAACACTCCCAGGCGCCAGCCCGAATAGGTCGAACGTGATGTGATCAACTGCCGGACTGTGGTGGCAATGCCTCACAACACAAACATACTTACAAACAGCGCTGAACAGTTCTTTTGTTTTTCAGGTTCCGGCATGAACTTGAGCACTTGGCAGGATCGCTGCGTATGCGGTGCGGTACAGGACGAAATCTGCGGTTGCGCCCACAAGGTTGCGACCAGAAGGCATTCCCTAAAATGACCATGCATGCGGTGATGCTGATTTAACCGACAGAAAACGTCTACCCTTGGGTTGTCTCTCCACAATCGCGGACTAAAGGCACCAAACTATCATATTCCCTGCATGGGGCCTCTAGACTCTAGATAAACTCCCCGCTTAGCCTGCCATGTTCGCTGCCATTTCCAACAGGGAGTTGTTCTTGGTGAACGGCGAGCGCCTGCCACAAGGCGCTGCATGTTGGGGATTTGTGCTCAGGAACCAGGGTTCACTGGGCTGCTGTTATGGAACTTAGACTACCATAGTATGAACACCCAGCAAGTAAGATGGTTTCCTCATAACTTAACCCTAGGGATCCGAGTAACATACCTGCTTTGGGCCCTAAAGTCTGATATATATTACTTACATTGGGCTATTCGGATCCCGAGGCTAACAGCTCCCCATTTTAGGGGTCGCAGATCTGGATGTAAGCAGTGATTTGCAGAAGCCTACATAGTTTTTCTTGCCGCGGGATGCGGGGACAACAGGGGGAGGCAAGTTCGGGAAGATGAAGGGGTACAACCTGGGTGTAGGGTTTAGGGTTTAGGGTTTAGGGTTTATGGTGTAAATTGATGGTATGCAAGATTTTTGCAATGACTGCGTTGGCGCGCTGCGAGTTCAAGTGTTCTTGAAGCAGAACTACGGACTGACTGCAATTCAGGCGCCTACATCGATTCCTCTGTACGAGGTACAGTGTCAGTATTTACTAACGAATCTAAACCCATTGTATGGGAAATTTGGGCCTTGCCCCCACCCATTAGCAGTCTATGATAGGGGCCCTTCTAAAGGCTACTCCAGCGACTACCTTATAATTATTACCCAACGGTTAATGAGTGGGGGCAGTAGCCGATGGGAAGCCATTTAAGCTCCTCACGTAGCTGATTCAAGCTCCAGGCGGAGCACCCAAAGGGTCCATGTAGCTGTATAGTATACACTGGGGGCCGACAGGGTTCCCATATGGCTACTTTAGGGCCCAAGTATGAGACTATAGTCCCCCTTAGTAAATAGAACATGGAATGGCCCAAAATCATGACATGACCCCAATATACCCCATGTTCTATCTACTTAAGGGGGACTGTATAGACCTGCATGGACCCTTTGGAGCAACCAAAAACAGAGGGCGCAAAGAGAAGTCCATTACATGTAGACATCTCCCAGACCAGGAGGCCTCTAGGACTGTTGGGTTAAGGGTCTAGGTTTCAGGGCTCAGGCTTTAGGGGTTAAGGCTTTTGGTATGGTATATACGGACAATGTTTATAGATTGAGGTTTAGCTTTCTGGGTAAGGCTTGGGCTTTGGGGGCTACAGTTCTGGCAGTGGCTTCGACAAGAAACTTGTTGTGATACTGCCTCCCCGTTGAACAGCGCCTTGTGGCAGTCATGTCATTGGGAAAGGGTTGGGTTACCGAAATCCACCTAATACCCAATCACGCCTTATATGAACCCAGTTTTCATTTCATCTTCAATTCCCTGCCCCAGTTGATTCTCCATCATACCCCAACTTTATTTGAGCTGTAGTCTAAACTCCTGGTATCCCCATCATAACCTTTACAGTGGCCCTCTGTATAATCTTTGACATAACCCCTTTAAGGAGTTTAGACCATGGCTCATTTGGGGCTTGGGGTTGCAAAGCTCACCTTGTTACCACTAGAAAACATAGCCCGTGTCTCTTGCCTTAGTTGCTCCAGCAGCTGAGGCAGCCAAAGCCGAGGGGAAGGAGCCTGAACATGGGTTTGGGGTTTAGAGCTTTAGGGCTCACAAGATTTAGGGTTTACTACCCCGTGAACCCACAACCCAAAGCCTTAAAGTGAGGTATAGCTACAGCACTGGAGGTTTGGAAGTGGTCTATGGAGTTGGCCTGAACCACTATAATCCTTATATAATCCCTATATAGCCCTTATATCATCCCTATATAATCCCAATATAATCCCTATATAACCCATATACAAACCAAGTCTAGGGTCTACTTGGGCCAGCAGAAACCCCTAAGTCCTCTTTGTCTTGAGGCCTTCTGGCTTCTAAGAACCATTTGAGCTACCTTCTAAACTCCTTAAAGGGGGGTTATATAGGGGGTTATATAGGGGACTACTATAGGGGTTATTAAGGGGGATACTAGGAGTTTAGACAGTAGCTCATTTAACTCTTGGATTTCCTTAGTACCCCCCTCTATACTACCCCACCCAAGTTCCCCCTTAGATAGGCGTTGAAACCCTTGCGGGCCAGGGGTGGTAGTAATTGGTGCATGCATGTGGCGTGCTTAGAGTATGGCACTGGCCTACAGTAGATGATTGCCAACAATACAGTGCTGAGGTCTATTCGAAGAACCCTTGACCGTAAGAATTGGTAATTTAATTATCCCGGCAGACACTCTCAGTTTCCATGTAGTCTTCAAGTTGGTGTTCCTTTATCCCTAAACCACACATACGGGAGCCTAAGCCCTAAACCCGAAACCCCTAAACTCTAAACTCAATACTATTGGCTCCTACACAGATGTACAAATACCCCTATAACCTCCTAAAAAGGACCCTAATTGTTGAGGCTTTTAACATTATGCTAATAGTTCTTCCCAGAATCTAGGGTTTGGGGTTTGGGGTCTAGGGTTCAAGGCGTTTGGTTGCCCCAACCCTACAGTGAGGATCGTATCAAGTTCATTACGCTCCTAGTTTTGGGGCCTGGTTGAACAACAGCTCCTGCTACAGTCGGGGCTAAACCCTAAACCCTTTGCCACAGTAGGGGCTTGCAACAAATGAAGAGTCCCTGCTTGGAAGTACTATACAAAGGGAAGGGTTGCCTGGGGTATATGATCTAAGCGGGGCCTGTTTGACAACTGCAATACCCTGCAGCTCTTAAGACTATCCTGAGCTTTGTAGGGGAAGGTTTGAGTTTTGAGTTCAGGGTTTGGACGTTGGGGGCTAAGGTTTGGGCTTGGACTATGAGGGTCCAAGAGCCTTAGCGTAGCATCTGAGGAAACATGTGTGTGTGTGTCATCACTTTCTGACCGCACGCTCCCAGCACAGCAGCTGCGCCCGCCATCGAATCCACGTTTCAGGCTCTTCACACATAACTAGGCTACCCCAACTTCTAAAAGGCCTACCTGACATCATCCCTAACGACGTCCGACTATAAGCTTTATTGTAGCCGGCCATAATATCCCATAACTGTACCTTTTAGCTATTGCGAGAATTGAGAAATTGCCGTTCTTCGCAGCTCTTTGGGTTGTAAGCCTTCCAGCTTGAGCCTTCAACGCCAGACCCACCAAAATTCCCCGACTCCAGTAGCCGCACATCCCTAACCTTCAACCTGCAATAACCTGAACAAGCGGTGGACTCTGAACCCAGAAAGCTTGATCCCTCAACCTCATTATCCCCAGAATCTGAACCCCAAAACTTGACCCACTTGGAGAGCCAGGTTATGTGATGTACAACTTTCTTGGCCTAAATATATTTTGGGTAACTGTAGCTGCGGGACTTATAATACTGAGGTTATACCTACATTTCAATAGGTGTGGCAGAAGTACTCTGCATCCGCAACCCTAAGCCTTCAGGCTCCCAGCCTCCTGACGAGCTCCTTGACCCACAGTAGCAAGGAATGCATGCCTCAGGGTTTAGGGTTTAGGGTTTAGGGTTTGGGGAAGGGCTAACCAAAGCCCTGAAAACCAAACTCTGAACCCTAAACAGCACATGGATAATCTCACGCGGATAGTCCCTAAGAAAGTCACCGGCACTTGCAGGAGGGATACCCTAAACCCGAGCCCGAATTGAGGCTCAAAATTACCTAAAGACCTCACGGAACTTGGAATTTGGCGCCGGATTCCTTCAAAGATCAGCCCTTACAGCCTTCGGGTAATCCCTAAACAGGGAGGGCTTCAGGATCTTAGCGTTGCGATTTTGGGCTCGAGGCCTGAGTTTGGAGACGCAGGCATGGCAAAAATGGACTGGGACGAATTGTTGTAGCCCGTAAAAAGGCCGCAGCATTAATCGTGGGGCGATGTTAAATTCTGACCAAAGCTAGAAGCAGAGGCACGTTACTCCCAGCAACTGTGGGCTTTTTCTCACTGGAGCTGACTTGCCAAGGCGTAGGCACTATGAGTGCTAGCCATCTGGGGTAATTTCCATAATTAGGTGTCCCTTATACAAGTAGACCCCCATAAATTATAGCACTTATTAGACATGGACCCCCGATGCTTCGAATTTCCTGCCGTCTGGAACATTTTTGAAGCCCTGGGGTGCTGGACCACACATAATAGGGTTTCAGGGCCTAAATACTATAATATTACCGGTATTTGGGCCTAAAAACCCTATTATTTGGTCCTTGGACCCTTAGGGTACCTCAATGGAGCAGCACCCCCAAAGATGAACTCACTCACACGTGCGGGTTGCAGAGGGGCCTCGCATGTTTCGGGTGCCCGAGCTGGGCCACTAGATCTCTTGCATAGAGGTCTGCTTACACCTAGTTTGGGCGACCTCCTGCACAAATTGAGTGTCATGCCGCAGCAAACGCATGCTGAATCCGCATCATGAGCACCGTGGGCGTCCAATCTAGGGTCCCCAACAGTTCATTCCAAGAGAATCGCCTCTGGAAATAAATGAGCAAGGCCTACCCCATTAAGCTCCACTGGCTGATACACGCTGTGGGTGGCAATGCCAATCGGGGGGAAAAGAAGATACAAGGAGCTGGCCCATTGAGCTTCTTGTGGCTACTGTAGTTCCTGGATATAGGGTCTCGATCTGCGAC